CTGCAACCGAGATATATAATGACAGATTGTTATCAAACAGATTATCGTCACAGTAACGTAGCCAGCCACCTTTGCCTACGGTTGAGTAATTTGATGATTGCCAAGCTATTTCTTGGAAATGTGCTAAAACAGTGTGCAAACTTTTTCGAAAGCCAAATGTTGAACAACAAGCAGTGGGATTTACTTGAGGTATTATCTCTCTGGTCGCACCAAAGAGGTCATCAGCGGACGTACGTTGTTACCGCATTCCAACGCTTAAGTTAGAGTAAGGAACATCCCTTGAGAATCCGCACATATCTCGGACAGGAGACGATCAGGTCGGTCCAGTCTTAGGCGGCGAAGACACACAGAGAATGACGCTAACACCCCGTCTCATTCACATGCTTTGCGACCGCCATCAGCTCTGTACACCCAACTTCACATATAGCCAACGGCATCCATACTACAAACTAGCGTTAAGTCATCCGTGTTTTACTGTACCCATTGTTTGCGCATCATTCCACCTGAAAACCACATTGATGGCATTTGCTTCTCTATTCCTCTTTGTCTATATCTATTGTTGATGCCCACACTTCGGACTAAATTTAAAGCTGCAATTTATGTTTACGTCTAAACATCAACTAACCACCAACAACCATTTCGGTATGATTTTACAAAACTATAAGAATATGGCTGTTATTCTTACATTCAATCCAAACGCATGCACGTTCGTAGTGTTATTGTCCATGATGCTTAGCGTTTGCCCATTCAGTTTGTGATAGTCCATACACAAATGTAAACAAAAGCCCGCTCGCGAAACTGCAGAGCTGCAACTAGAACCAGGGACCCTTGGCATGTCAACTGATATCGCCACTTACAGCGGGCGGTGCTCGTCAGCAAGTTAAATGATTGAGTGGAAGCCAGTAAGAAACACTTGTAGGCGCTACATTTCAGCTTGACAGACTGCTCGCATTTTCACAGGCGTGACACCATTGTCTAATACCTCGATGTCCAACTAGGGCTCGCCCAAATTATAGGTAGCGCTAACATTTGTCGTGTCTCGTTATGTTCCAATTTGACAGATGGATAAATTACATTTCACCTCGTGTAACCCCCGCGAAGCATTACGGGTTGCAGTGTGATGTCAAGTTAGCCACGTCAAGTGCCTCTGTACTGCGCACTAAGATTCAGACAAGTTATCCATTTTGATTCGCAGACTGTGGCAACACGATGGGACATCTGAATCGAAATGTTTGGACACAAATAACATTCTTGGAACTGAGCAAATGGCCGAGATATGCTAGCGCTCAAAACGAGCGACCAAGAGGAGCATAAATAATCACACAAGACTGACTGTTTCGCTGTTCCACGTACATGTGAATTCTCACTTCCCTATCGAATAAGAGACGATGGGACTGGCTCTGGCATACGTTCCGACCCGGATAGTCTGCAGTTAACATAGAAGAGGGCATTTACAGTGCACACCGCGATAAGTGATCACTGTTCCACTGTGCACTAACTTCTGTGTTAGATGACGTTGTAAGTTTACCAATGTTATTAAGCTCATACCGCTCATATTGTCAATAGATTTTCCATTGTGGCCTGTTCTGCTTGCACCACGATTGGACTAACACAGCTCTAGCGACACTTCATTTCATGCGTTTATACTTGTATTTGCACATGTTGTTGCACTTGCACGCAATTTATATCATTTTGTAGCATCTTTTTCTTTGTAGCCTTTGAGAGCAGTTGCTGGATTTATTGGTAACATTACACGTGCAATTTTCGTACTGCGCAGTGTACGCGCAGTTCCAAGTAAAATAATAGCATCCTTTGCAGAGGTAGTTCGTCGAGAAATATTGCTTTAGCTGTCACCACACCTCTCACACAATGTAGGATGCCTACGCGACATTTGCATATCATTGATCACTTGCTATCTCCCGGTTTTCCTTGCACTCCACATTCCTCTTGTCCCCATCCTGCTCCAACCAATCTTTGTACACCAACCCCCAAAAGAGACCAATCTACCCGTATCTCCTCCATCGACATCAATAGCGAAAAGTGGCCGCACGTCAGCACGCTAAATACTCAAGGCTGGATAGTGGAATGTACTCACATTGTACGATGGGAACACCAATCATCGACCTACGCGACAATACCACATTTGAAGCCCCGGGGGTGCGCGCTGATTTTGATATCGCAGCGCTGAGTGAGACCTGACTGGCAGATCAAGGTAAATTGCGAGACGATTGTGCTGGGTACACTTTCTACTGGATTGGAAATCCATACATAGTAGCAAGTGAACAAGGCGTCGGATTTGCTATTGCTGACCACCTGAATGACCACTTGACAGGGAGTCCAATGGGATCAGCCCACGGTTGATGTCGCTTCGTGTGTGTGCCTCAGACGTGGTAAGCTCGCAGTATTTATTATCACTTATGGTCCCGCCTTGAGTTATCCTGATGACATGAAAGACCATTTCTACACACAATTGGCCTCTGTTCTAAGGTCTGTGCCAATGAATGATCGACTATTCCTGCTTAGTGACTTTAATGCACATGTACGGTGTGCTGCCACAATGGGGGCTGAGGTGCTTGGGCCGCACGGGCTTGGGATGGTCGGTGGAAACGACGAACGCTTGCTTTTGTTGTGTGCTACAAATGGCTTGACGATCACGAACACTCAGTTCGCGCTGTGTGATAGTGACATTGCTACATGGACCCACCCACGGAGTAGTTATGCTCACTTTCTGGACTACCTCATCGTAAGACAGCAGGAAGTTCGCGAAGTGCACATAACGCGGGTAATGCAAGTATAGTGCATAATGTTTATGTTAGTCATTTTATCAGTTATCCAGCCCGTTGTGAAAAATGTTTGGTAGCCTCTGGTCCAGAGCATCATGGGCAATGCTGATGCCTACTTGCCAAATTCGCCAAGATGATGGGACTAGTTGCCGGGGTTAACAGGAGCAGTATCTGTCATTCTCAACCAAAAAGAACTAACAATTAAAAACTCCACACACCAACAAAAAATACGCGTTTGTCCATAGAGGGACAAGGGAATCTTGGTAATCGGATTTAATCGGGGTCAACGACGACTGTTCGGTTGTATTCGCGTTATCGCAATGTGGCCTGAACATCGTCCAGTCGCTTTACTTCTCTGTCCTTGATAACAAACTGCAACTGCAGACCAATATAGCTAGACTGTGTTTGGTGTACCCGAGATTGTCTACAGTTCCAATAGTCGTGCAGCTGCATAGATTCGCCCACAAACCCACATAAAATATGCGGATGCCCATAGAGGGACGGAGGACTACTGGGTCACCGCCTATCTGCTTCATCAGTTATGGTCCCAGTGATCGAATTGGCCAAGGTTTATTTTAACATAATCGCGGTTCATATTGTGATTGCGCATCTCAATTCATTCACAAAACGAGTGCTTCGCAATGATCCTCCAAAGTTGGCATCGTTTGTTTAAGTCATAATAAAATACGCGATTCGGGAGTCTAACCTCCCAGTAATCAGCTACCCAGGTTCATGCGTAAAGGCACAGGCACATAAACAACGCGAGTGTGGATGGGAATAGAGGTGAAACAGTCACCATCTTTGATCGGGGTTAACGATTGAGAGAAGAATTTACAGCGGCACCCGCTGTTTACGCAATTTGCTTGCATTAGAATGACTATAATGTGGTCCGAACATGGTCCAGTCACCTTACTCCTCATTTCATTTTAGAAAATTGCTAATTCTCTGCTTAGAATGCAGTGTGTCCAATTTGTTTTGAAAAACCCAATGAAAAATGAAAACGGTAGAGAACACCAGTATGAGGCAAACAATTGTTATCAATGATTCATCTACGGGCAGTTGCAAGTAAAATAAGGTTGAAATAAAAAAGAAGAGATAGTGATTGGTTAGGAGGAATTTAGCCCAAAATGGTTGGTGAACAGGTGAACCGGAGTTCTCACAAGCTATCTTTTATCCTTCCTGTTCGATTAAGGCCATCATGTTAACCGCCCGAATGCATTCACTGTAATTTTTCAGGTTCCAATGAGCAAAACAAAAAGTTCGCGGATATGTTCGCCATTGGAGAGGCTATCGCGATCAGAATTTTCCAACCCCCGCTGTGCTTGCATAAATGTTTGTTCACTCTGTCTATCTGCCTTGGCCGAACAGCCTTCAAGCTGTCACTCAGACATCGGCTGAGACTTTGTGATGATGTACCACACCAATCGATCTGTGTGAATGAAACGTCGCCGAACCATTTGCTTTCTAGCCATTGACAAATTATTTCGGAACGAACCTCTAAACCAATCATTATTCGCTCCTTTTCGTTTTATCATTGTACGCTTTGTAACGGCCTGTAGACGAATTTTGAAAATAATCGTTTGCCTCAGACTGGTGTACTTTAATAACGTAGCATTTATCATGAAATATATCATCTTACTTCTTTAGCAGGCCGGTATTCTGCCAGTGGTTGAACCCGATTAGCTAGTGAGAATTGACCTGTAAATCACCCCGCCCTTTTCAGCAACGATGTCCACGCATACACCGAGGTTATTTTGAATGATATTTTATGGAATTTCAGTCATCGGGTCTGACGTGGCTGACAGTGAACACAGCTCACCCCACTGGGATCCGAAATTAGGGGCATTTCTTTGATCCACTGCGCAGTTGAACCGTGTCTATGTGCAAGCGGTGTATTTATCAGCTCCAACACAGCACCGGTTATGATTGGTATTTGGAACGAAAAAGAACACCTCTTCTGTTATCATGCATGTGACAGTTCATCCGGCAGAGATGAATGATCAGTCATATGTCCTTTAAGCCCAGTAACAACCCAATATCTAAGTGCACCATAACCTGCGGTGCATTACTCACTGTAGTATAGTCATTCGCGTCAACAACAAATATGATATGCCAAACCTAGTCGAGATGACTCACCCTACGTTACAGAGTGCAACTCAAACACCGTCTAATGGCTGGGATATAGGTTAGATAAGAGAAAGTGGGCGGTGTACAAACCTCCGGTGGGGGGTCCACCAATGGGTTGCCATCCAACGTGACACTGGGACAAAGTAGAGGCGACCAGATTAGTTCGCGCAAATTTAAGATAGTGCTGGGTAGTTTTCTTATTCGGTTGTTACCAATCCACAAACAACGCAGCTGAGGCATGTTACCAATCTCGTCTGGTAGTCTGGACATCCTGTTGTCAAACATCAACAAGGTCTCCAGCTTTTCAAGACCTGCTATTCCGACAGGTATGCATTCGATCTGGTTGCTTGAGAGATCCAAAAAATTCAGGTTCTTCAGCTTCAATATTGGTCTTGGAAATTCTGTAAACTGTCGATGAAAGGAGGAGAAATATCACTGTTAGAAGACAAAAGTAACCATCTGCAGGAGTGTATCCACTATTGATATGGTTTGTTACTTTGTTATCGAGTGACTTTCAAACGTCCATGTAAGGCAGCTGATCATTTAACTAAGATTCCCATGCCATTTTTGATTAGCTAAAAAACAAATTTATATTTTACCGACAAGCGGGAGCGATCGTTTGTACAGTGAACAATTTCCATGGTTTAGGAGACATAATTCTATAGTGATAAGTCAAATGTAAATACTAGAATTTCGATTCATTAATTTTTCCTCTGACCCGACCAACTAATATGCTGTATGTGTCGATATTTAAATCACCGTTCTCTAGTAGATAAAAATAGGAAGGCGTTGCACGCACACAACTTGGCTTTTGTAGGTAGTGATATGGGTAATGGTATGCACGTTCCTGGTCGCGTTAGCTTAGCCGCGAAGTTGCACGTGACGCTGAAACGGGGTGCCTAGTCAACGTACGAATTGGCTAACGCATTGGGTCTGCGAAACCAGACTAACGATGCACATGCGGCGCACGCTCACGTGACCACGCGAGTTTGTGGTGCAGTTACGCATTTTTGTGCGATCTAGGTAAGTTGATTGTAAACTTCTACCCGATCATATATATATATATATATATATATATATATATATATATATATATATATATATATATATATATGGGTTCGAATCCTGACGGGTCCGATGGATGCGCACTAATGACGATGCCCAACAGGCTGAAACTGTAGTCTAGTGCTTTTCCGGGCATGTGGACGACTATATGATTTGGAAACTGGCTGCGATGGACCTCACTTAATATGTTATATATACCAGATACCTTCAATGTTTTTTAGTTTATTGTTAGCGAAAGATCACATCTGATATGATGCGGAAAGTCTGTAGGGAATTTCGAAACGTGACATGGTTTGTGCTCATGCGTATCTGTAGGGGCAGTTTGTTCCCACAGATCAGCGTAACAAACTAAAAAGAAATTAGACAGAGCTTTGCTGGTTGCGTGTGGGGTAGAATGCAGTCTTCCGCAATTCATGTGCGGCGCTGTCTGCGTAAGCTCTTTGTTCATTAATGCTGTAGAAGAGAAGCAGGTCGTTCCTTAAGCGTCTCAACCAAAGCGGAGCCATTTGAAGTTGTCGACAGCGATCATAATAACAGGTTTGAACAGCCCCCCATGAACAGCTTGGTATATGCTCCTTGGACGTATTCCAGAGCTTTTCTGTCTTTATTTCTCACTTGGCTGTGAATGATAGTGCAGTATTCCAGAGTCGGTCCTACTATTATCTTGAATGACTCAAGTCGTGTTTCATGGAGGGAGAAATTTCTGGTGATATATCTGCATAGCTGCTTGACTTTTGCAAGCTGATAAAATATGCGCGGAGAAATGGAAAGAGTTGGAGTACCTAATTCATAAGTCCCGAACTGAATCAGACGTTGGGATCAAGTTTCTCGCAAATGTGATACAGCCTTCCGGAATACGTCATCTGTACCCAAGTACATGAGACTTTACTGCGGAGAACTTCATTAAAAATGTTCATTAGCTAAATGTAGTGCGGATAGGTCTTCAGAGGTGCTTCCAAGAAACATCTGTAGTTGGTTTGGATGAAATGAGTAGACCGGATTGAGGTCATCCGTAAACAGAAATGGACTTCAGTGTTTGCTCGGGTCGCACGTGCTGTTTACATAGATTAGGAAAATTAGTGGTCAGAACACACTTTCCTGGAAGACACCGATGGTCATTTGTTTTGTCGTAGTATTGCTGACAGATGTTGACTACGTGGTTTCAATCGTTTAGATATGAGTTTAACCAGCTAAGCAGAGTGCTTCTAATGCTATATGACTCTACTACGGATAGCAATGGCTTTTGTGGCAAGCGGTCGAACGGCTTTTGCACTTCCAAACTAGTTATAATGATTGACATTCCCCTATCATAGCCGTGCATTTCTTGATGCTCTGACCACCGCAGAGGATAATAAACGGTGCCCTATCTGCTGCATCGAGCAGGGTGGATAGGGGTTTGGATGCTACTGCTCAAGCCTTCCCGTCTTCTTATTCCCCCTCTTACGCTTTTTCACTCTTACCGTCCCATTCCAACTTCACTTATATCCCCCCAGTTTTCAACCCCCCGATTCTTGGCCCTCCCCCAACATGCTTTGCTAGGCATTTACCTTCTAATTTCAACTCACACGTGAACGCGGAGCGTCACTCCTCTCCTGTCGACAAGCCCATGTCCAACCAAGCGGTCCATTCCAGTTCATCGGCTTCCATTTGGAGCCCTCGATCCTCCTTCAGATTGGCATGCCTCAATGTACACACACTACTAAAGATCGGTCAACAGGCAGCACTTGCCCGAACATTGGAGACCCTCTCGATCGATATCTGCTGTTTATCAGAGACCCGCCTGAAAGACTCGAGCTCTGTGCTCACTCTGCGATCCCCTTCAGGTGACGCAAGCAGTATTTTCTCAGTGCACCTATCCGGTGACGATGCAGCTTCGAGCACCGGCCAAGCTGGTGTTGGCATTGTCCTGAGTCCCCGGGCTGAAGCTGCTCTGGTTGATTGGATTCCAATCAGTAGCCGGATGTGTGCGGTCCGATTGGCTGGCTCGTTCAAAGCTTCGAAGTCGCGTGGGACTAATAGGTGCCTATTCATCATCGCTGCCTATGCGCCCACAAACTGTAGCGATGATTCGGTAAAGAACGACTTCTACCGCCAACTGACCCAGCTCCTTCGCCACAGAAGAAGCACGGACACTGTTGTGCTGGCGGGGGATATGAACGCACAAGTTGGAAAGTTGTCCACTGATGAACTGCATCTGGGCGGTCAGCACAGTGTAGGCTCCCGTAATGATAACGGTGAGCGGTTACTTCATTTGTGTGAAGATGCACGCTTATTTCTTGCGAGCACTAATTTCCGACACAGCACCCGCCGAAGGGTGACTTGGCGCCCACCAACCTCGAACCAGCCTCGCACGCAGATCGATCACATTGCGATAAGTTACCGCTGGAGAGGCTGCATCCAGAATTGTCGCTCGATTTGGAGCACATGTGTGGACACCGATCATGCACTTGTATGTGCTGACGTGCGGATGCGTTTTGGCGGACGCCCACGACGACGCTGTGAGCGTATTGACACCAGCCAACTGACAAAACCAGCTGTTCTGAATGCGTATCAAAGTACGCTAACATGCGAGTTGAGCAAGCGCTCACAGGAGACAATTGATGGTCACTGGTCACATGTTCGCCAGACCTTACTAGCAGCAGGCAAATCCTCATGTGGTATGTCTAATAGACAACATGGACATTGGCTGTCTTCGCAGTCTTTGGAACTTATAGATGCTCGCCGGCAAATCCCGGCTGGAAGCGAGCACAATGAAACTCGCAAAGAGCTCCGGGCAAAACTCCGTGCTAGCCTTAAGAGAGACCGCGAACATTGGTGGTCACATGGTGCGTCAGAGATGGAAGTGGCCGCTGCGCTTGACAACCATCGTAAGTTATTCCGTCTGATACGGGAAACGGGTAGCAGGAGGCCTGGTGTTAGTGAGACAATTTGTGATGAGAGTGGACAGCCTATTCACAATTTGTCAAAACATTTGGAGCGTTGGGCTGAGCATTTTGCAAAGCAATTTAATCGGCTAGAAGTTTTCGATTCTTCACCGGCCAGTGATCGCCTTGCTCCGTGGGCTGTCCCTTTGGATCCACCCTCTCGCTCAGAAGTCGAAAGTGAGATCGAGCTGTTGAAGTTGAACAAAGCCGCGGGACCAGATCTTCCTCCAGCCCTCTTCAAATTCGGAGGCTCTGCTCTTGTTGATGCTTTACATGAATTACTAGTTAAACTGTGGGAGCAGGAGATTGTCCCAACCGACTAGAGCCGCTCCGTTATTGTTCCCATCTTCAAAGGCGGCTCGCGCTCGGAATGCGGCAACCATAGAGGAATCAGTCTGATCCCCATTGCCTCCAAATTACTCGCGTCCATAATTCTCCACAGACTGACTGGCGCTCGTGAAAGCCAGATTCGTGAGGAGCAAGCCGGGTTTCGTCGGGGTCGTGGCTGCATCGACCACATCTTCACCTTACGTCAGTTGTTGGAGCACCGTCACACATATTGGCGGCCCACCGTAGTCGTGTTCCTCGACATCAAAGGTGCCTTCGATTCGGTTGATCGATGTGCCCTTTGGAATTGTCTACTCAGGAAAGGTGTGCCCGAGAAATATGTAAATATTATCCAAGCATTAAATTAGCGTAGCACGGGCAGAGTGTGGGCTTACGGCAAGCTGTCGCCACCCTTTAATATCTCCAGCGGTGTGAGACAAGGATGCCCGCTGTCACCTTTCCTCTTCAACTTCGCTATTGACGAGGTCTTGGAGACTGCATTTACAGGACATGACTTGGAAGGTGTGGAGCTACTCCCAGGAGAACGACTTCTTGACTTGGAGTATGCAAACGACATTGCCCTCATCTGTGACAGCTCCCAGACGTGCTAATCCGCGCTGGACAGATTAGCACTGGCTGTCAGTCGCTTCGGGCTTTGCTTTGCACCACCAAAGTGCAAAGCGTTCCTCCAGGATTGGCAGGGTTCGCCTCCTGTGCTGATCCTTGGTGGGGATCAGCTGGAAGTCGTTCAGAAATTCAATTAACTGGGAAGTTGTATCAGCGCCCTTGGGATCGAAGACGAGATCACGAACCGCATAGCGAAAGCTCGAAGTGCTTTTGCTAACCTTCGCCACCTATGGCGACGGCGCGACATTACTCTCGCCCTGAAGGGTAGAGTGTACAATGCAGCGGTACGTTCGACCTTACTGTACGGTTGCGAAACCTGGCCCCTAAGATCGGCGGACATGAAGAGGCTACTTACGTTCGACCATCGGTGCCTTCGCAGTTTGGTTCACATATGGTGGGAACACCGCGTGAGTAACGAGTGTGTTCGTCGCATTGTTTACGGCCCAGGAAAAGGATCTGAACCGC